ACACAAAGATCGAGCGGTCATCGAAGAGAGAAAATGACGGACAACAGTGACATCGTGGTCCATTGTCACTGCCAACACCGAACAGGAGCAGAAAAGTAACGCTAAATGTGATACAAGTCAATTTAAAACAAGAAACCTGTTACAGTCTAGGACGATTAAAATCAGTGGGACAACATTATCCACCATAGACGACAATGATTCTGGCCCAATGCCTGAGACAAATTAAACAAGCGATAAAATCATCACAAATTCGATTTGTTAGGCACAGATACTGATTTTTTCAGCCCATAGCCTAACGTCGTGTCTACCTCGACCAGTATCAAAAACGCTTGCGGTGTAATATCTATGAATATTGTATGATGCATGGCTTACTATGACTGAATATCTAGCATGATTTTCCGTAATGATTCTAGAGTACTACGGAAGCCGATTAACGCAGCTTCACATACTTAGCACATTCGAAACGAATTTATAATACAGGCGCAACCTAAATTTGAAAAAAGGTCATTTGGTAATACACTTTGAACGCCCTGAGTTTCATGGAGGAGAAAAGGGTAGCAGGAAAGTGTGTGAATAAAAAGCCAACAACCGCTGCACGATAACAGCACTCCAGAACAAGTGTTAAATTTATTTTTTTAGTATTACTACATCTGTTATGCTGAAAAAATTGCAATAAGAATTCAGAGCTGATAAGAGCCATCTACTAATCATCATACCATAAAGCAGGAAGCCAAGATGATTAAAATTGAGAATACAATTTAACCCCAAAAATAAATAGCCAAATCAATGCAAAACAGATGTTAGCAAACCGTGCATTACCTCATAAGTAGTTCAAGTCCGCTTTGGCTCAGATACCAAGAACGCCTTAGCGGAATATCTACTTTTTCATCAATAGCCTTTAAAGCCAAATGCCTGCCTAGCCGCGATAAGCGATACCTGTAAAATTGCAACAGTCATTATCAACAAAATGTAAACAACATCTGTCAAGAATAGACAAAGTATTTGAACGCTCGAAATTAAGAGCAATGTGGACGCAAACAAAACTAAACGTCATTTTCAATGCCCCGAAGTCCCTCTCAAGTACCAGGGTGCTAAACTCTTGCTTCAAAATAGTTTCGCAATGAGATTAAATGCGGATAAGTGCCGAATCCGATGCTTTGATTTTCAGAAGTTCTGTTCTAAGGGTAAACCGCACGATGACAAGATCATTTATGCTCATTTCATATGGAAAATATTAGTGCCTGAGTTCATCAACAAACAAAGTCATCCCCGCTACCAGTCTTAGCAAATAAATTCATTTGACTGCGATCACAGCATAACAGAGAAAACATAATGATGCACTTACATGTGCAGCGCTTTTCCCTTAGTTCTGCTGTACAGTTTCATAGCAAGTTGATATACTTCTTCTTTGTTCTTGTCCGGACAGAACATTTTGATGAGTCGAATGGCAAAAGGCAAACCTGCACCATAGATTCGGCCATAGTTAAGTATCTGAAATGTCCAAGTTATTAATCACAGCAGTGAAATGTACTACACTATCGCAGTGCTTAATTGTACTTTCGCCTGTTGCCTCGTGATTCCCAGGTCGTTTGCTACAAGACTGTGCTGATCGGTTGAATTCGCCTTGTCTCCATTGAGCAACATCCAACTCAGTGGAGTGGCGCCTAAAGCACGCGAAAGTAAAAAGAAATCTAACTGTGTACTAAACGAACAATACATCACGTAGCTCTTCGACCTTTCGCGTTGCTAACCATCAAAAAGAAAATCGTAGGGGTTTGCATGTTAGCGAATATTCAAAGCCGGGGAGAATACGAGCGTTAAAACGCGACCCTGTACTGATCCCGCGGTTAAAATACTTTATACTGAATTTTAAGCTGATAGTAAACCATATAAAGAACATGTGAAACACCCTCCTGAACATCGCCAGTGAAACATTATAATGGCGACATGCAAGGCATTGCAGTGATCAATAATATGAAGTGAAATGAATGAATAAATTGCAGAGGTTAAAATACCTCAAAGCAAAGTCTGCTAAAATGACATCCTAGGCATCTTTGAGCAATGGTATGGTACCATTATGCAGTGTAACTCGACTGAATGAAATCATACTGAGCATAACATAATCACTGAACAGAATAAAAACAATTTCGAGTTTTCAGCACGAGAAACAACAAAAGGAAACTTGAAGTACATCACATTTTCCAGATGGCACATTGGCTTCCAGGTCGCCATCTAGCCAGGTGCAGTAAGACTTTCGTGCAAAAAAAACTTGGTTCATTCATTCGAAAGAGAATTTGAGAAGTATAGTGGTAAAACTGGAAACTGTATATCAACCTGTGTAGAACGTAATTTGCTGATTGCTTCATACAACTGTTGTTTAATAAAAGAGGTATGAGATACGCTGCTTATGTGATCTTATTGTCTCAAATAAGGTAGCTCCGAAACTGGAAAGTGGCGCAGAAGGAGCTCAAAGATTAGAGTTGATAAACGTCAGAGTGGTTAAGTCGTTAGATCGTAGGTAAAATGCCAAGTAGATAAATCAGCATCGTTATGTGAAAATGAAGTAAAACAATACACGGTAGCGACCATTAATTTGTAGATATTGTCTTCAGAAACTATGACGTCCTTACTCTTAACATCGTAGTGCAGATTAACGCCGTTTCATTAGCTCGAAACAAAATACTGCTACAAATGTCGGCCAATACGGACGTGTTTTGGAGTCCAGCACGAAAAAACCTACATATTTTTGTTTTTTGGATCTGATGTTACCGGATTACTGACATATGATTTGGTTTGATTTAGGTACTTCTACCCAATGCCTTGAAAAGGACACTACACAAAAACAGGACCAAGAAAAGTCGGTAGTTCATTCAATAATGCTTATACGAAAACTTCGCTCCTAAACAAAGAATAAGAATGAATCACTCACCTGTATGAAAATCATCGATTTCAAGAGATTCAATCAGTTTCTGTTGGCTAATGGAGGAAAAACGGCTGCCTCTCTTGACTTTGTCAGCAAAACTGATCTGCTTCGCAGAAGCTAATGATGTTGCGTAGGCGCTGTTCACAGCTGAGGAACAGGTCTGGTCAGTAAGTCGCTTGGTCTCAAGAAGATGGATTATGAATGGAAGCTGCAGCACTACAGTTTCATTCCCCGATTCTACGCGTCTCGAAGGACAATGCGTCTTTGAAGTGAATGCATCCGGAGTGAACCAACGTTCATTAAAAACAACCAGCCACATGATTTCTCTCTTAAACAAACGTACAGAAAAGCTCCTGAATTGCAATAAGAATGTTCTATCTTTAAACAGACCGAGTTAATGAATATCTCATATTCACGGCGGTCTAGTCGTCCTAGAAACAAGTTTGGAAAATCAGTAGCAACACTGCTATGCCCTTAACCGTTGTCCGCCTACTCTGTGACGATGGATGAAGAGGTACTTGCGACTGGCGCAGCAGTTCCGTGGTAAATTGCGCATAAGCAGTGATGACAACCCGTGACGGCATGGGCAGAAAAACCCCAAACCAAACAGAAACAGAATCGGAAGTTTTTAAAAGCTTCCTTTCACGAAAACTGGCCTTTGGCAGAGATGCGTTTGTGGACAATACATATTTAGAAATACATCTCTTTAGACCTGCTGGCGACAAAAAATATAACCTGTACCGCAGAGAAGGCTAACTTATGTAAATCTAACAGAATTTCAAACAGTCAGTCATACTGGCCACTCTGATATTCTAACATTGCTTAACTACATATGACGACAACAAAAAACGGTACAAAAATTTTGTTAGATTTGTTACCAGCTGATTTTAACGACAGATATGTACGCTAGAAACTTAACAATAATTAATGCGTCTAACTTCACAGAGTATTTTGTTTGTGCGTGCATTCATATTCAAATGACACAACATTTTTCTGATGTACACAACGTAGAAACGTAAATTGAACAGATGACGCATTGTTAATATCGTTGGGGTGGGGTGCCTTCTTCAAGACAGGACTGGTAGATTTTGGTTGACGTAGAGCTTAATGTCTGCAGCAGCTGTTTTCATTGAGTCGCAAACGCTCCCGAAAAACCGACTTTTCTTTATGAAAATTAAACCCCTTGTGCGCAGCTTGTCATATAATAGTGCACATTTCTATCAGACACTGTGATTCGAATATCGCACACTTTTACAGATGTAACTACGATGTCATGTTACATCTAACTCTACTCAAAGGGAAGCAGATATATATACGTAAGCTGTTTCCTCACCGTGCACCTTCGACTGGTAACTGTCGCCGAAAAGAGCCGCAATCCACAGCTCCTGTGAATCAACATCGGCGCCGACAAACGTATAGCCTTCGGGGGCCTGAATCAGCCCTTTAAGCTCGCTTCCCAACCTGTCATTCTAAACAATCAACAAACAGCTGAAACTATCCGTTTCACAGTGTATATGCCTCAGGATTTGCGATAGTCAGCCAAGTTGGCTCAACTGCACGTCTCGTGACTGTCCCGGCACATACGACCCGTGGTAAAATGGCGGCGAAACCACGAGGTTCATCCAAATTTCTGTAATAGGCAAACCTGAGCGATGAACAAATAGTAAATATTACAACAACAACAAAGAGTGCGGTGCCGTAGCTGGCTAAACAGTACATAGTTTGCGACCATGATCTGACACCAAGTTATATGAATGAAACATGAATAACTGCGGGCAAAATCGCTCATAAATTCAACAGCTAGATAACAAGGGTTACCGGGAAGGGCGTAGAGAAAACAGGAAAAACATGTCAGGAGTGAAGAAACATTGATCAGATATCATCGCTCTAAGCAGTTATTAATGAGCAGACTTATTCTCTGATGCATCGTCTGCGCTATGATCGCACTGCGCACTAGTCGTTCCACCATTCAAAATTCACGCGGATTCCATAACAATGCAGTCTGTAATGAGCTGTGTTATTTTCTGCACCCTTTTCAATCTATTCATTTCATTGTTTTTTCTATCGCACTTCAAGTTTCATCAGGCTCCTGGTTTGCCTGTGAGAATATTGCATCAGGCAAAACTTCCAACTAAGCAACAAACCTTGTCTGATACCACCACCAAAGGCAGCTACGGCCAACACCGGTGAGAGAATTACTGATCTACCAACGTTACAA